AAAGACTGGACTGCCAGCCGAAAATCTGGGTCTGAACGTGCGAATTGTGGCCGCCAGCGACTAGTCAATGTTGGGGCAGAACGGAGAGTGGCAAGACTGGTACAAGTCAATAGAAGGGCAACAGTGCAGTGTCCGATTCCTCGCATTACCTTTCAACATCTCGTGGAGTCACGAGGCGGCCCAACGAAGTCATCTCGTGGCCCAACGAAGTACTGATGGGGTGGTCATAATAATCTGGCCACTCAGTGTATAAAACTTGCATCCCAAAAATAAAATAAAAAATGTTGCTCTAACTGCTTCAAAAGTGTTAGCTGGAGCTCAAATTTATTTTGTTAGACGCGTTCATCTAAATCTGCTAGTGCATCTAACACTACCGTCCACAGGGTGACAATGCTGCTGTCCAAGGGTGGTTCCATTGTTTCTCCATAGAATGGAGCCACCCTAACACAGGAAGTGTGTTACTGACCAGATCATCCAGTTAAAATTAATGAAAAAGAAAACTAATGCCGGCAACCCATTTAAGAAATGGTGAGCTACAATATATTCCATTTTTGTTTTTGGGTTTAGATGCACTTTAAAGCTTGTGTGACAGGCTCGCTGTTGCTTTGTTTTGGGAATAAGCATTTTATCTTTGCTAGTTTGCAGGGCATAAATGACAGGGCAGCTGGGAAGCAGGTTTTCTCTTTTTACAACACTGGGACTGATCATTACCATATAGCATGCAGTCCTTCCACCTTGGCATTCACTTTGAGAAATGTACTGCCATTGCCTGTCTCAAAATGTACAGGAGTGAAGCAAATAGGACGGTGTCACCAGCACAATGGTGTCACCAGCATCAACACCATGTTGTTGATTGGAGCTCTGTAGTGTCAGAACGCTGTGCTTTGTGTGAAAGCAGCAGTCCCTATCTCCAGTATGCTGCCGACACAACACAGCTCTTACAGTAAACACACATAGCAAACATAAAAAAGAATCTCTTTTCCATTAATATTTTTTTTCCACTTGCAATGTGACTTTGAATTTTCTAGAAAATATGACTACTCGAGGAGAGCCAATTCCCAAGCACAACTCGCTCCCTTCTTTGCACGTCAAGGCCCTATACATTGGGAATGTCTAACTACTCTCTGTTCTGGCCCAGCTCTTCCCCCTCCCCTTATCTTCCCACATAATCTTTTAATTTTGCATTCTTTTTTTATATTTGCAACGTGGGAGAGTAAATAGCAAAGTGGAATACTATATAAGTCACTTGAGGCGGCAGCTCTGAGTATGCTGGGGCTGCTGCCATCACATCCAAGATGGCAGCACCCAGCAGCAGTGTCATGGCTTTTGGGTGTCTACACAAGGGAGGATTTTACAGGTAAATGCATAAAATACATTACATGCAAATATAATGGAATGAGATGATTGCTGCTCAAGTGAATGGTCTGGTGGCAGGGACTGTTTGAATATTACTAAAGACTTCACTGAATCTGTCTAAAAATCTGTCCTACCTGCAGCCATCTTTATAACGTACATAATATAAGACAGTTTCTGCCATTTTGCCATGATTTCTAACAATTATTATGCTCATCTGGGTTAAATAAAGAAAAACTAGGTGGGAGGTCAGGTAGAAAATGCCGCATTCCTGGAAAACAAGATTAACCTCTGTTGTCACCGCCTCTGATAAACTGACAGCGGACGGAGTAGAACGGCCGAAGGAAAATGTTCATAAAAGCCTGGCGAAGTCACCTGTGATGTCATAAAGGAATGGTTCATGAATGAACCAGGTGAGGGTGACAGGACCCAGGGCTCTGTGTCACTGGCTGCACGTACACTACCCCGGCATTTGCCAACATAAGTGCATTGCTGTCATTCTGAAGCTTAACGGCGGATTTAACCGTTACAAAGAATGAGTTAGACTCTGTCTGACCCTGTATTGACTTTGTGCCCTCAGTCTCCCTGCAATCACAGAGGAGGCCTTTACAGCTGAAAAAATAATACAGTTGTGTATTCCTTTAAAAATAATGACATAGATCTTTTTTAAACATACATCCAACACAAGTACCTGAATCTTTCTTGAGATCAGCTTCCTGACATCACCTGCACAGCAGCACTGAGAGGGGGAGAGGGAGGGACTGGCCATTGTCACCTCCAATCCTCCTTTCAGTAGAGATCACATGACCAAATACCTAGGATATGTGGTTATGTGAGTGGCACTAGAAGGAACCTGGAGCTGCATCTTCTCCAGGAAAGGTAGGTATTTCATTCCTTCTGCTATTACTGCAAAACTGCTGATCATATCAATATACATGAACTTTGTGTATCCATTTATACACCATTAAATGTATTCACATATACAGGATCCTTCCTATAATGAGGAAGCCTGAGACTGTTGCCTCAGGCGGCATCTCTTTTGGTCACAAGGGGGCGGGGGGCTGCAGGCAGAGCAGCATGGTTTGCAGTGTGCCTGCTGCCCTCTTTCTGGCCAGAGCATCCCAGGTTGCTAAGAGCCGGATAGGGAGATGTGTAAGGGCCACACACATCTCCCCGCCCAGCTCTTAGCAACCTGGGATGCTCTGGCCAATGTTCCTGATGTCACTGGTTGCCAGGAGCTGAGCGGGACGCTGTATGCAGCGTCTCACTCAGCTCCTGGCAGCTAGTGAACTCAGTGAACTGGATGGGCACTGGCCAAAGGCAGAGCAAGAGCCAGCCACACCCCCTACCCGAAAGCATCACCAATGCCCCCCTCCCTACCCCTCACCCGCACGGCCTCAGGCGGCAAAATAGCTAGGGACCCCCCTGCACAAATACATAATTTAATGTATTCACTTATACATCATTAAATTTATTTTTTACATGCAATTAAATGCATTCTGAGCATGCGCGCCGCCATTCTGGAGGCGGGACGCATGACGTCACATACCGCACACATCTGTTGGGGGGCACAATTTTCTGTTCTTGCCTCAGGCGCAAAAGGAGCTAGCTACGGCTCTGGTCTGGTACTCCAACTTTCACTGTCCAATCACAGACTGGGGGAGGAACAAGATCTGTAAGTGTTACTGAACTGCAGCAGAGAAAAATCGGGTCTTTTTCCCTGCCAGGTGGATCTGTGCAGTGTGGTAGAGCTCTGTAAATCTCAGGACTGGATAGACAGAAATGCAAATACTTTTGGTGGCAGGTGAACTAGCTACTTTATATATATTTCATCTGTGTATTTAGCTGCTTGCCTGGAGCTCAGCTTTAAAGCAATTTGGTCAGCAATTATGCTAGCTGCATAGTAGGCTGCATCCGGATATAATATGTCATTATGAAACAATGGCTCAAGAAACTAGTAAAGTGTGAAAATCGCATTACAAGCTGCTTTTAGCTGAATTTAGGATCATTTAAAATCATTTCGGGAGTACCCATTACATCCATAGTATTACCCTTTAAACATTGGAATAGCAGCCAGTGCTGTGTGCGCGGTTGTCCAAGTTCTAAGACGCACCACTTAGAACTTTTTAAAGTATTGATTGGCGGCACATTAGAAGTGAATGACCTTTGAATGGCCGGGTCATGGTGCTGTGCCAGTACTTCTGTCTATCTGACGTTATCTTCCATTTTGCAGAAACTTATAAATGAATTACTAGCTGCTGGACACTCTCCACTGTCTGGGGAAGACAATGACCCAGCTCTATTGATGGCTGATTGTAGTGTGCAGCTAGGACAAGGGGCTGAAAGGAACTGATAGGAAGTGTCTGCTGTATTTAATCTAACCAACCAAATTTCATGTAAAGACTTAGGGGCTTGTTCACACCATGTCTGGATCATGTCCAGAACAGTTTGTTCCCGGACCAAAAATGCACCTCAATGTATCCCTATGGCATTTCTAGGCTCTGTTCACTAGCGCCAGACAAAAAAAAATAATGCTTGTCTCATTTTCTATGGAATGCACTAGAACACATGGACATGCATCAAAAACGCATGCAAACACAGTGGACCGCACCTGAAAGCCCATTTTACGCAAAAAAAAAACCTGCTCGAGAACGCAGCAAAATCACTGCAAAAACAGGTTAAAACACAATGCACCGCGTTCCATCTACACTAAACTGTGTGGATGGAGGAATCTCCCACTGGGCCAAGCTTCAGTAGCTTGCTAGTAGGGACCGCTGGCTCTCAAAATACCTGAACAAGGCCCGCATCCAATCAGATTGTTCAGGTATTTTGAGAGCCAGCTGGGCCAACTAGCAAGATACTGAACCTTGGCCCTGTGGGAGATTCCTCCATCCACACAGTTTAGCATAGATGGAGGAATCTGTTGCACTTTTTCCATCTGACCAGAGAACATCTGCAGATAATCTCTAGGTGTATGGCCAGCTTAAAGGTTACTGAATACTGAAGCAGAAAAAAAAAATCAAGTTGCCCTGCTTTGCTAGAGAGGACTGTGCTGCATAACATGGCTGCGTAAAGCTCAGAGCTGGATGGAAGAAATGCAAATCTCAGACAGAGCAGCTCCATTATATATTTTATCTGTATATTTAGTTGTTCGCCTGGAGTTCAACTGTAACGAGGAACGCCAGGAATTTAAAGAGTTAACCCTTGCAGTGGGGCTACCCTGCACTGCAAGGGTTAACTGCTTGTTTTGCTTGGGAGCAAAGAACAAATATTCACCCGATGCTTGGTCCCACCTGGCTGCTAGATGGGTCCCCTTAGCCTCTTCTACCTTGGGGTGCAGCAGGCTAAAGACCCGTGATGTCATCACACCGATTAGACATGAGGACACGGAGGGACATACCACAGCCGAAGCAGAGCGAAAGGAAAGGTGAGCAGTCACTACCACAGAACCAAAAGGATCGGGCGAGTATATGATCTGTATTATCACCCCTAGAGAAAAATGAGCAATTAACCCTTGCAGTGTGTGAGGGTGGGGGCGGGGAGGGGAAGGGCTCCACTGCAAGGGATAACATTTTCAAATTCCTGGAGCTCTTCTTTAAATGAAACTCCTTTAGGTAGACATACAGCATAAGGAGTGGAGGAGTTACCTCTTTCAAGTCTTGGACCAGGGCGGTAAGCCGCTCGTTTTCGCCTTGGACGTTGCCGACAAAGACTTTACTCTGCCGTACATCGTTCTGCATCTCCAGTATCCTGCCCAGGTAATATTCCTCTTTGGTCGCTGACTCCTGTAACAAGGTCTCCTCTCGGGTCTCTCCATCTTCAGCAACTTTGCGGTGGACGGTGAAGGATTGTCCGAAGGCCTGGGAGAAGAACAAACAACTAGTTGTCAATAGCAGTTTTTATCATGTGATTCAGTAAAAAATTTCAGTGGTGCCCTCAACTTTTTTTGTAGCATAGCTAAACCTAAAACCAAAAATGGAATATATCGCAGTTTATCAGTCTTTAGATGCTGTGGCTGCACTAGTTTTCTTTTTTGATGCTAAGAACATTCAGCAAGTACAGAAATGCCCGTTGATCTTGCCAGAAATGCAGAGTCCTTGTCCATGTCATAGACATGAACAAAGGGAGACACGTTTGAAGTCCAGCCTGTGTGCAACCTAGGGATGTTCTGATACTTGCCATTTTCACGAGACCTACCAGGGTTGTGGCGGTTGCAGCTGGTGCCTGGCTCTGGCTCTCCACCACTGTCCTGAAATCATTAGTCTGTATTGTTTTAGAATAACTGTCACATGACAATATACATAAATATATCAGTACTTGTATCTATGAGTACTTGGGCAAGTATCAGTACTTGTACTTGAAAAAATTGTATCGGTGCACCCCTAATAGGGATGCGCTGATACCGGTTTTTCGGTATCGAGTATGAGTACTGATATCTTTTTTTTTTTCCAAATATATCTCTTTGGA